ACAACTTTAAAAGCTAGGCTCATTTAAGTGGAGTTGTTAGACTATTGTCCTTTTATGAGCTTATATAATTCTAAACTTATGATGAGTTCTTAATAATTCAGGCATGTAAAATCTATTATATTGTAAGCCCTACATATAATGATTCTACTGTTAATAATCTAGCTTCATTAGAGGGATGGATAAATTACAGATATTTGAAATTTTTATTTCCATTCACATGCCAAGAGTCATTTACACTTGGTGATTGTGTGCTCACCTATAGTGAGTCAAGTCATGGCAGTGTATTACTTAAAATTATATTTTAAGATATTATGTTGACAATGAATTTTGCTCTATAGGCATGTCATTGTCAATGTAATTGTGTTTAAAATTTTGGAATTATCTCTAAATACCATATTGATAAAGGATGTTGTCAGTAAAATAAAGATTATTATTATTATTGGTAGTTGGGCATTTATTTGGCAAGTTTGCAAATAAAGGTTTTAATGTTTTGATGTTTCTTATACCCTATAGGTATAGTGACATTAAACACATTTGTTGGAATACTTTTGATAAAGGCCTTAATTCATATTTGAATTGGATGCATAATAATCTAATATCTGAAATAATGTAAGATAAATCATTTTTATTAGGTTAAAAATCATAATTGAGATTTTTCAGTTGAAAAAAAAGAACTTAATCTCAAAATCTATTAAGGGATTCATGGTTTACTATTGCATAGGATTAAGAAGGTGACAATTTTGTTACTCACAATCAAGTTAATCAAATTTGAATTTTATTTTTAAATTAAATAGTGAGAGTTAGGGGCCTAGAGCATTAGTTTACTTGTTAAGAGCACCACCTTTACTTAAGCACGTTTGTTCATCAACTTTATTTGATTAGGATGAGGTTGTTAAGGAATCCACTTGTTAAAATAAACAATCCATGAAATATATTGAGGAGTTAATTTTATTAAGATGATCTCACAAAGTTGGTATACCTGTGATGCCTAGTTGAAAGCAATCATTTATGATCAATCAAATGAATAATGGCGAGAGTTACAAGGCATAAACCTTTCTTGTTGTACATGGTGAGGACATTATCATATTGCTCATAGATGTCATAATAGTTTGTCATTGAATTATCTCAAACAAATAGAGACTTGAAGAAGGAATTGAAATACCTTAATAAGATGGTTTCTAGAATTTAGGTAGGAATATTTAATGTGCAACTATCTAAAACCATCTTTGGGAATAAGCAAGTTTCTAAATAGTGATATCTGAAGTTTTGATGAACTATTAGCTCCCTTTAATTTTACTTAGAATACTTCAGATTTGTGTATATTTGTTAATTATTTGGGAAAAGCAGTCTTTTGCTTCTTATGCTCCATGCTAATAGCCAATCGCTAGCTAGTGATCAAGTAAATGAGACAATGTACTTGTGGTTGTGCCATCTTGGTATAAAATTTTCTATCTAACATATTTATTCAAAGATTAATATCAATTTTAATATGTCTAACTACAACCTTGATTTGTCTCAAGCAACCTATTTTGATCGAGTGTTTAGAAATATAGTGCACACTTTTAGTTTGATACCTATTTAAGGAGTCTAAAGTTGTTTAATTTTCAACATCCTCAAAATTAATGTTAAGGAGAACCATTTGCATATAAAGAATTTTGTGTACTTCCACAATGAATGACTCTGAAAATGCTAAAATATGTGTTGGTCTTTGATCTAGATTTTGCTTTGAATTCCCCTTGGTGAATACTTGTGAAATCATCGCAAGAAATTATTGAATAATCCTTTTGAAAAATTCTTGTACATTGAAGGATATGTGGCACCTAATGTTGGTTGTTAAAAAATTGATCCTCTTCTAAATTTATGATTATGAGAATTTAGAATGTGTATCATATTATTCCATAATATAGAGAGGAGCTATCTTGTAAAATTGAGTGTATTATAGACACTCATAGCTACCTCAATTTTAGAATGTGGAATATATATATATATATATATTGCTTGTTGTAAAGCCTTTCATTAGGTTATACAGTTGAGAAAATTTTTATTGGACATGTATTTTGTTGTTTCCTCTAACTCTGAATGCGATATTTTGTCTACCTTGAGCTTCTCTCAAAGATTTTGTTTGAGAAGATTATAAGTACTCAGACTTATCTAATTCACTTTTATAGTGAATGTATGTTCATGCATTTGTATGATCAAAAGTTTACCATGTGGGTTTTATTGATATTTTGAGATAGCCTTGGTTCAGTTGGAGTTTGAGTTGTGTCATTTTAAAGACATTTAATGATTTAAGGCCATTTTGCTATTATACTCAGTTGTTGTTTCAAAAATAATGAAATGCTTTATATCATTTATATCCCCATAGGATTAAATGATTCATGTTTATGTATCTTTTATCACTTTTTTCCTCCTGGGATTCAATCTAGGTTCAGAGATGTTCGATGCTTTGTATCATTTGTCTCCCTATAGGATTCAATGATTTATGTTAGAGCACCTTGTGTCACTTATTTTCCTACACGATTAAGTGACTTTGTGCCGTCTTTTGTCGAGTTATGGTCAAAAGACCAATTATATGTTCAGTTCAATAAGATGCATTTATATCATTTGTATCCCTATAGGATAAAAATGATTTGTGTTTATGCATCTTTTATCACTTATTTCCTCTTAGGATTCAGTGATCTTGTATTGTTTCTCTACTGAGTTTCAATCTAGGTTCAGAGATATTACGGTGTTTTGTATCATTTGTCTCCTCATAAGATTCAATGGTTTGTGTTAGAGCACCTTGTGTCACTTGTTTTCCTATATGATTAAGTGACTTTGTGTCGTCTCTTTGCTGAGTAATGGTCAAAAGACCTATTATATGTTCAGTTTAGTTAGATGTGTCTATATCATTTGTATCCTTATAGGATTCAATGATTCTATTGTGGTATGCTATACATGTCACTTGTTTCCTCATATGAGTCAATGATCTTATGTTGTTATCTTACTGTGTTTAGAATAAAAAATTTTATATTTTGTTCAATTTAAATTATGAGACATTATATCACTTGTTTTCTTATAGGATTAATGATTTTGTGAAGTTTCATTTTCTAAATTTTGTTTATGACTTATTTATACAACTTACTTAATTAATGCAATCCCAATGAGAGATTGTTGGAATATTTATTTATGGGTTTACATTAATTAATAAGCCTAAACATATTGATCTTTATGATCTTGTGTGGACTGTGATAGATGGACCACACAAGTGAGCCCAATGGGCAGAGGCCCAATCTATAATCCTATAGCTTAGTTATTCTTTATCTCTTAACTAATTCAGTCAAAGATAATAAAATATAACTAATTAATTTATTTATTATAGCGATTATTGATTTGGTCTATATAAGCCATATTAGTCGATAACCACAAATATATGACTCTTTTCCATCCTCTCCATTATCTCTGCACTCACTGAAAAACTACGGGGATCTAGTAAGTTGTGTGTCTGTCTATACTTGAGGTAATTGAGTATCTCAAGCGATCATGGATTCTTCAGGCATGCACAAATTATTCTACTTAATTTTATTTGATGCATGAATTGATATATAAAATTAACAAAAGCCTCCATTGTGGAAGCAGACAAGGAGAGGAAGCTTGTGGCCAAGATCAATGATTTTGGGAGTGAAAAACCTAGCCAAAATGGGGTCTTCTCGGCTTCTTGAGAGATGACATGAAAGGACGGAGGAGCGAAGCTAGAGGCTATTGTCTCGCTCTTAGCTCTCGTGCTTGGAAGTTGTGCTCTCAATTTTAGACCAAGAAAAATGCTTATAATGCAATACTCTTACTCCAATCAAGATAATTCCCCCATCACTTGCTCTTTCTATGACTACCCTAATGGTATGCTTTCTCATCCACTCACTTCTTTTGATGATAATCTAATATTCCAATGATGTAATCAAATTCATGATTACACATATGGTTTGCTTAAGGGAAACTATACAAGACTAGGTCTGGTCAAATCTTTGAGATTGGACGATAGGGGAAGTAAATCAAAGTTGACAATAATGGCTATGAGATCAAAGAAAGTTGACGGCGATGGTTTTTGGTCTTGCCATCTTTTATCTTTTGATATGTTGTTCAACTAATTGTTGACTATCCCTTGATATCAATTATGTGAATTTTTGAATTAAGAATGAGAATTTTTTGATATCAAGTACTTGTTCTTTGCTAGTTTTTTTCCATTTGTTTTTCTCATTGTTTATTATGCTCGTCAATCTTTTATTCTCTTCCACTTCTCTTATAAACAAAGAAGACCAAAAGTGAAGCATATTTGCTACATAGCAAAACTAGATGTTGTGTCATCTGTCAACATTAGTCAAATATTGAAAAATGGCAACATTTTAAAACTTTTAATACTTTTAAAGTAATACTGTTACTTATAAAAAAGATAAAATAATAATAAAATTTTAAAATATATAAATGATAATTTAATTTTTTAAAATGTCAAAATTCTCAGAAGTTTTTAAAAACTTTATGTTATTAATGAATTTATATAAATTATTAAATATCTTATTAAAAAGAAATAATTTACACGTTTTATTTAAATATTTATAACTTTTTTTTATATAAGTAACATACAATAGCAAATTACAACTTTGCATGTTAAATTTTTTATTTGCATTGTATTGTTGTGAATATAAAAAAAAAGTTATGAATATTTAAACATAACTGTAAATATTTATTTTGAACAAGGAATAATTTAATAATTTATATAAATTCATTAATTTAAAAATTTTTAAAAAATTATGATATTTTAAAGAAAAAAATATTATTTACATATTTCAAAAAACTTTATTGTCATTTTTTCATAAAATAAAGGTGTTTGTGCTCTTTTAAAGATAATTTCGTGACATTTTTGTCCTCCACTCTTTTTTTATTTAACAAAAAAAAAATAAAAAATTTAAAAATCGATGTAAACATCAACATTGCCAGTTTTTGAAGTTTGAATACCCCTTGATAGCATAAGAATTTTGGATTTCTCAACATTACAAAAAATGGCGGCATCCATCGACGATGAAATGGATTCTCTCCTCACTACCTTTGATCAGATTTGCGAGGTATTCTCCAACTTCAGGTTCATTTCCCGTTGCACTCCAGTCGTCACTATTCACCTTTGTTTGGATTCTGGGAAACTTGGAAAGAAAATTTCCGCAGTTTATATCGAATTGCAAAAGTTAATTAGCGACTCGAACTCACGAATAGCAAGGTCTTTGTAATGGTTCCTTTTTCTTTCTCCCTTTCAATTGCATTTCCGTATAGTGTATCAAATGCTGGTTCACGTAACATCTGGATCGTTAATAATTTGGTTCTCCATATTGGAAATTGAGAAATAAATTTTTAATTTTTTTGTTTTAATGCCTTTCGTTGACTGCGAGGTTTAGAAATTAATTGTATGTTTTTGCCTGGCTCAGGATGCTAAGAGCAGCATTGCGGAGATACAGTTGCTGCAATCTAACTGGAGTGCGGAACTCAAGAAGCGAGAATCTGTTGAAATCACTTGCAACAGTCTGAGAAGAGGTTGATTGTCATGCACTATTATCGCATGTCTCTGATCGTCGCTAATTGCTTTTACTCCTATCTTCGCCGTCTTATTGCATTGTAAATCAGAAAACGTTATAAGAGCGGCTACTGATTTAAAATAGTAACCATGCTAATAAAAATGCAAATAGCACGAGCACGGACCGAAGTTATTATTACACTTCAGAACTCTCAAATTTTCGAATGCTGTTCGGCTAGTTTGGTCATGGTGACAACATTAAGTTAAATTACTTTATAGTTTGTTTGTATATTAGTTCTATTGTGCAAGGCTTTTGCTCTTGCAGGGGACTAACATTATGTGTATGGAATTTTATTGGACAGTCAACACTCTGATTAAAACCTGAAGCCAACACATTAGCGATTCTCTAACAGCTTCACAAACTTGCATCATATTTTCTATCTAATTAGGCTGGAATTTTGCAGAAAATGAGCAGCTAGCAAATCTGTACACAGAGTCTTTAAAAGACTCGGCTGATCAGGTTCCCCCATTATATTTTGTCCAATAACCCTTTCTCAGTTCTTAATCCCTTGACCTGTTGTTTGTCAATTGACTAATTGAGTAAATGCTAAATGGATAAACTTGCTTACTGAATGATTTGGAATCATTATCCTATCATTGCCTGATCTTGAGAATCTATGTATCAATCTTGTGACATTCAGCTTGACTTCCGTGCCAAATGCCTGAACTTGAAAGAGGAACTGGAAAGGGCAAGTAATGCCCTAGTCTACAAAGAAGATGTAAGTTACAGTTCACATGATTGGTCTGGTCTAGTTCATTCAGTGTGCGTATCACTGCATTGTGTTTGAAACACTTCTTCCATGTAATTTTAAGATTAAATGCAATTAGGTACTGCTCTGTTCTGTTCCTCCTTTGGGTTCTACAACGCAAGTTCAGACATTTAGTTTTCTGAGCAGGAACATAGGAATGCTATGGAATTGCTTAAGCAAGACTACGAAGAAAAGATTGGAAATTTAGAAGCTGAAGTTAAGTGAGTTTTGATCCGTTGAATTAGTTGAAGTATCCTCTTAACGTGATCTTGCTTATTCTGTTGTTCTGACTGTTGATTTTGCTCTATTTTAGGGCATCTCTCCATGAGAAAGCAACATATGAAGCAACTATTAGCCAACTCCGCCAGGACCTAGCAGCACACAAAAATAGTATACAACTTTTATCGAGCAGGTTGGATGAACTTCATCATGAAGTGGAATCAAAATGTGAGACTCTTTTCATATAGAGCATATTTGTATTTTCTTTCCACAATTTTGTAATTTTTACGTTCCAGTGAGAAGTGCCGACCCAAGATCGCTTGCTTATAATTGACAGATATTGTTGAGATTCAAGATTTGAAAGAATGCCTTTTGATTGAGCAGGAAGAGAAAAACGAGTTGAACAAAAAGGTCCAACAAGTGGAAAAGGAATGTTAGTGCTGATTTCTTCCATGTCCTCTTTTTTCTAATCCATGCATGTTCATTTCATGTTTCTCTATCTTGAGACTAAGAAACCCTTAGATTGAACCTTCCTTCCCCAATTCCTCAAGCAACCAAAACAACACATTTATTCCGTCTTAAATATAGAAACTAGATAACTTATTCGCACAAATTAAGGAAGTTAGTTAAGTTAGTTATGTATAACAAATCTGTGTTGGTTTCCTTAAAATATCCCTCGTTTTAATCATTTACATTGGAAACTATCCCAATCAACAAGGTTAGTTTGAAAATAATAATAAATGTGGGAGACAAAAGGTATTAAGATATTACATTTAGGATCAAAACAATTCCTCAATTAGCTTCTACATTTAGGACCAGTGAGAGTAATTATACTTTTCATGGTCCTACTTCTACACAACACAAATTTATTACTTTACAGCAGAATTTTCGCATTCTATATCACTTAGCAGGAAACTTTTTATCGCCTACAGTGCTGATTTGTAAAACAAAGATGGTTGACCAGCAGCAGGATATGACCTCAAATTGGCATGTGGAAACTCTTAAACAGAAGATCATGAAGCTGAGGAAGGAGAACGAGGTCCTTAGAAGGAAGGTCTCTCACTCTGGAGAGGGCTAAGACAATGGCATTGAAATGAAATATAATGACTTAAGCCACATCACTGGGAAAATTTAAATGAGTTCCACAACTTCAATTTTGTTTATTTAGAGAGGTAGACACTAACTATCTAAGATTACAAGCAACATTGGGCCCACTACCTATCACTTACAGGAGAGTTTTTATGTCACTAAACCACAAAGTCATTAGCACAACTTCAATTTCATGCTGTGAATGATGTATCTTTTTAGCCCACTTTTAATATGCCAACTGTATAAGAAATTAGTCTGGCAATTTACACTTTCCAGGCTATGTAAGCAAGTAGCTTAGAAGAAAGATGATTCGTCATGCCCTTGCGTGAGTATACTGCAGATCGTGTGTGTTCACTTGTTGTGTCAACCTGTAGTTACAATTATTTGATGATAGATGTTTTGAAAGTTTTTGTGCTTTTTTTTTTTTTAATATCTTGTGAGAAAAAAATTAGAGAATGAAACTGCAGAGTTTGAATGTTGAAACCATGAAATAGCCTGAATTACTGAGAAACTACTATGGAATGAAACAAGATTTTTTTGAAAACAACTTAATTTATAATGGTTCCATATGTGAAGTATTTTTTTCAAAACAAATATTTAAAAAAACCAAATAAAAAGTTTTGGTGTCAATGAGGATCATAATAAAGTTACAATTAATGGTTACTACTTCCTTGTTAAGGCACAAAGCAGAAGGAAAATAAACACATGCTATTATGAAAATTATCAGTTACAGAAAGCTAAGCTATAATACTTCCCAGTTTACAACTTGTGGTGCTTAATTTTACAGGAAACCTCACAACCCAGGGCCAGTCAATCCTAGGAGTAACTAACCTGGATATTTCTGGGCAGACTTGAACTCATGAATCCACTATTCAAAATCCTATCTCCTTTACCACCCCAACAAAGTTTAAAAAGTATACCCTCCTCTTTCCCTCTCAAGTTAATCTCTTTTAAGCTTGATTGAAAAATGTCTTTCAGCCATTTCTCGAACAAGCTGTTAGTAAAAGAACCACAACCAACTCTCATTTCTTCTATCACCCTCTCTTCTACACTAAACTTCTCCAGCCACTGCTTCCCCCAAACCTCCTCAAAATACCTTTTGATCTTCGATGAAAAGAGAGCTTCTATTTCCCTCTTGTCCGCGCCTAGATTTTGATTGAACACAAAGCGATTCTCTATTGAGTCAAGCAGTACATTTGTTTCTCGTCTCAGATTGCTTGAGATGGGACTGATTCCCCCTGCTTTGTCTTCCCCATCATCATCATCGTCTTCTTCAGCTCTTATGTTCAGATCAAGTGTGTTGAAGCTTGATTGTCTTGAAAAGTCTTTCTTACAGTTCTTTTGTTCTGACACCAAGACCATCTCTTCCTTGTCTTCAGTTCGGGGTCTTTTGAACTTGGTAAGCAAATCCCATTCAGCCTTGCGTTTGTGGTCTAAACCAGGTTGGGTTTCACTGATGACTCTCAACACCAAGCTGATCACAGAGTCATCCTGATTCTGCTCTGCTGTGGAGCCATTGTTCGTCAATATGAATATTGTCTCTCCTGGCTTCTCCTTTGTGCTGAAATCTCCGAATTTTCCTGTTTCAAATCCATCCGCAAGGAATTTTCTGAACCGGGGATCTGCAAAATCAGCGTTTTCTATTAATACCACAACCTGTTCATGGGTTTTCAATGCTCTGCTCAGCATTTCAGAGCAAGGGGATGATAAAATCTCTTTCTTTTTCATGTCCAAGCTGAATAGAAGATGAGCTGAGCCAAAAAGTGATTCTGCAATGGCTCGTGCCAATCTTCTTTTCCCAGTAGAGTCATTACCCTGCAGATACAACCAACAACAACTATTTTGCTTTGCTGATTTTGAATCAAGGAAGAAGGCCTCTGCTATTGAAGAAACTAGTGTTTCAGATTGCCAAGGCACATTCTCCTGCAACAGTTTACAAATATGAGCTTGACGCAGTAGTGTTGTATGATCAGATATATTTTCCACCGTTTGCCCCGAATCACCGAATGAGGAATTTCCAAGAGCAAGAGTAATCTTTACTTCTTTACCTTCCATACCCTTGAGAGAATCCAAGCTCGGTTCAGTTGCCTTGTGTTTCTGATTTTCATTGCCGAAATTGAACTCAATGGTGCAAGATTGTTGCCTCCGAAACCGAGGTACAAGGTTGGAGCTACTATAACTGGGTTTCACAGTGGGATCTGCGAAGCATATGGAACTTGAATCTGTCGTGATACTATTACTTCCTTGGTTTGGCCACCATGGGTATGATGAACTATAAGGGTAGATCTTCGCATTTGAACTGTAATTGCTGTACAAAGTGTTGCCCCACTGGTTCTGAAAATGCTTGCTTTGGTGAAGACAGTGGCATAGTCTATTCCATTTTCTTCTTAACTGGGCTAGTTCATCCTGGACACATGAAGCTATAGATAAGCTTAACGGCCTCTACTTGGAGTTAATTTTAACTGGAATCATATATATTTTAATATTGTAGTCCGCATTTAGAGGCAGTGTTTTTCTAAAAATGAGATTTGCTACCTTGTGATGAGCTTCGGTGTTATGAGATTGAAGCCAGGAAGGCAACAGATTCTTCTGGCCTGGTTTGAACATCTGAGCTTCTTTCTCGTAACTGGAAGAACATTCTGCACAGCAAGCAAGCTTATCTTGCTCCTCCTTGTCATTGAAGAAGGGCTTCGAATCAAGGACACTGCAAAATGATTGCACAACCTCCAATAAACATCCAAAAAAAAAAAAGACATCTTTGAATATGTTCTTCAGAATCTCATGATTCAGTGTTATCACAGTAATTCATTCCGGAATCTGCCACCCGACATAAACAAAATTATTAACCCTTCCACTGATAATTTGTCTGTGTATACTATAGTTTCTCTGAAAATATTGTGTCATGTAAGTAACATCCTGACAAAAAAAAAAAAGTGAAGCAGAAAAGGCACTGCATTTGCTTGTGTCTTTACCAACCAACCATGCTTTTGACAGTATATGTACTGATCAGGAGCAAAGTGGAAAACAAATTAAGCTTCAAGGAGCAATATCACAAGACAATTTTTCTAATGCAGACATTTTCCTTTTTTGCTTTATTTGACATTAGAATAGAGCAAGAGCCTGAGCAATTAAGAGATTAATCTACCTGGAAGCATGGAGACTCAGGCCTAGTCCATTTGATGATGGAACAGGAACAGCTTGCAGTGCCCACTGGGTTTCAAGAGATGGTTGCCTCGTTTGACACCTCATGTATGTCTGATAACTTGCTGTGCCCATTAAGCAAACCTTATTATTATTAAAAGCCTTTGAGCTGCTTCCGTAGTCACTGAATAACTTACCTATTTCTGCAATGAGATATTCCACAGGAGAGACCCCATTTTCCTTTTCACTCAGATTTGCTTCCCCAACTGTCCATTTCAGGTCTCCAATATATACAATAACACCTCCTCCCAATGATGCAACAGAATCCACCTTCCTTTCCAGTTCCAAGAGGCTCATCTCAACTTGTTCTCTTTTCAGAAAGCTCAAATAAGAAGATGAGAATTGAAACTTGATGAACCGGGTTGACTTCAACTCATCAGGAACCTCTCCTCTCTTGAACCTTCCCATCAGCTCTTCCACAAGGCCTTCAGTGAAACTCAGAGAGTCACAAACTATCACAGTGTTCTTCCTCTTCTTCCTGAGCATGATATCCAGGACCAGCTTTACATCTTCATTATAATTACAAGAGAACACTAGTGGGGCTCTCTTGAGAGGAGAAAACAGCACAGGGTTGTTACAGTCAAAAGAGTAAGGAACTTCACTGGTTGGAGAAGGCGAACAAGGAGAAGAGTAAACACCACCAGAGCTATTATAACACTGGAAGACAGAGGAGGGTGAAGAGTCATCAAGATTGTTCTTGACAGCAGTACTAGAGAAGCCAGCCTCTCTCATGACCCTACTAACACTAGGGTCATCAAGTATAGATATTATGAGCTGTTCAAGCTCAACCTTAATGGGGGTCAAAAGTGGCTGCTGCTGCTGCTCGATGCATCCTCTTCTATGGTGAGCCTGAGCTCGTTTCAAGGCGGCGACAAGAGCGTTGGAAAGGGAGGGTTGGTGGGGATGGAGGAAGGAAGGAGGGGTTGATGTTGGGAGCCTGTTGAGGGCGACATTGAAGCATAGCTCCAGAGCTCTGCAATGGAGAGGATGGGACGAAGACGGCATCGTGTGGTGGTGGCCGTGAGACTGAGACTTGAGGCAAGCCCTTCTGAGAGAACTTGAACGGAGGGTGAGAAGAGTGGCGGCGACATGGAGAGGAGTGACCTGGGCATGGCCTCTCCGGCGAGCCAACCCCAGAGAGTGCTTCAGCACCGAAGCAGCCTCCGCTGTGAGGGTCTGCGGCAATCCACAACCTCCTGAGCGCATTACTTGAACCCAAACCCCACCCCCCCACACCACCCTAACAGCTTTCTTCTTGCTTCACACTTCACGTACAACTGCACAGTACTGCTTCTCTTTTCTCGTTCCCCCACAAAAACCACACTTGAAGAATTAGCTAGGAGCTAGCCTTGCAAGCTCAAGCTAGTTAGCAAACACAAACTCAGAGAGAGAGAGAGAGGTTTTTGAGTTTTAGAGAACTTGGAACATGAAGTGAAGCTTTAGAAATATCATGCTAGACCGCACTGCCTTCTTTATACTTCTTTCTTGTCACTGTGTTTCTTCCTTTTTCATTTCTTTAAGGTCTGGTTTGCTTATTTTTCATGCTACTAATTAATTTGACATAAATATAAGCAGAATAACAAACTTTGACAGACCGTCGAAAAAATTCGAGGACAAAAGTGGCAAGCTCATCAGGAGGGTACATCTTTCAAGGCTGAGAATTGCATATTTTTTTCTCGCTATTTTTTTTTGTCTTTTGGATTTAGTTTAAAGAGGCAGCTTTTGCTTACCTTTTATTTCCACTTCATTGCTCTCTCTCTCTCTCTCTCTCTCTCTCTCTCTCTCTGGTTTACGGTTAACGCTGCAGCGCATTTCCCTCTATCTCCATTCTCAATATGTTCCTCAGTTCCTGTGATGAACTGTATTCTGGTCACCTATACGTGACAACTTCTTTTCTTTTCCTCAAATAATTATTTTACCATCTTCTCTCGTAGTTGAGAATATAAATTTAAACTTCATCGTTGCACACCTTGAAAAAAAATTGAGGACAAAAAGCTGTAAGATAGCAGTATATCATCATCTGCTTCTACTGTTACACTCACACACACAGCAGTAAGTATGAATGCATGCTGATCCACGACATAGTACAAAAGGCCAGGAGGGTACGTAGCAGTTAATTCTGTTTAGTTTAGGACATACTAAAATGTAATTATATAAGCTCTTGTGGCTGTGCGCTATTCATGCAGAATAATAGAGTTACACACGCACAGACACAGTGCATGTGGTCGAGTCTAATATCACATGTAGTTTTTAGCAAGAGATTATGCAATCTTATGAGTACATGTACGTAAAATATTGTTGCTTTGAATGGACAGACAAGGCGAGCAGAAATTCAAAAAAAGCAGTAAAGAGGAAGAGAGAGAGAGAGAGATAATTAAAGATAAAAGAAAAGGGAAAGTGGTATATTTATCTGATTGTTTCGATACTGCTTTACTTGCTCATTTATGTGAATATGTACAGCTTCATTAATAATATATATGGCAGGTTGTGAGAGAGAGAGAGAGAGAAGAGCAGAGTCTCTCATCACGCCAATCCTCGTAGAGAGACAGCATATTATTCCCCAAGTACCCAAAAAGCAATCCTCTGTCTGCTATCCTACATTGCATTAGCGTTTCTTTTTATTTTCATCTTCCTCATCGGTCTCTTGATCTCTTCTCTTCTCTGTAATTCCTCTCCTGCAATCTGCCTTCACCTTTTGTCTTAATCTCGTCTTATGATTTCCGACCACCCACTTAATCAAAAGGAAAAGGAAAATAGGTAAACGAAGCAAAACCTGAAATGTGCTGTTATAATGGACACTGCAGGGATTTGATGTGTGTTCACATTATTTTTTGTTTTCGCAGATACTCATTCATATATAGCTAAGCTTTCTTTGTCGTTTAATGTAAACGTGAAGACCAGTTCTGCTGCACTAGTTTAATTATGAACCTTCTTTAGGTAACTTTCTCAGATCGCTTTCATGTTCTGCCTTCTGCTATTTCTATTTGAGAAAACTCAGTAAGTCGGTATTGCAATAACAGATACTATATACACATGACTTTTGCTAGTTTGGTTTCTTTGCACAGTTTTGATTAACATTTATTAATTATTAATTACTCAAGTGATGCCTCTAATTAGTCTTATTTACGAGTCAAATTCACCAACAGAATAATTAATTATAACATTATTCATTCGCGGTTAGATATATAGATGATTTTTTTCCCAAAAAAAAAAAGCATTTATCGGCAGAGTCATGTATATTTATACTCATCTGCAACTTAGTTTTTGGTGAAGTATATTTTGTGAATAAACATAACTTTACATGGCAAACAGTTTGAAGAAGGAAGCATATGGGTCCTGAAGGAGTCACATTAATTTGACCCTTCCAAGATTCGAAGCACGAGGTGAATATTAATCATCATGAGCTTAGCTTTACTTTAAAATCACGATCCAAAGAGAAAAACTAAAATTAATATAGCACTACTGAGACGAAGCTCTTGATCTTGGAATCATTACTATTATCGCGTCCATTCCAAGACTAGGATCTACTCAAAAGATGAATCCACTGCATTAAAAGAAGCCAACAAAAAAAAATTACTAAATTCGAATCAAGAAGTGCTCTTAGGAACTGAGGTTTTGAATTGCAAAGTTAATTATTCAAATTAAGTTCAAAAAATTATAAATGCAGGGAAGCATATATACAAATACCTTTTCGTTTGTAATATCGTCAAAAGAATATTATCGGAAGAATTATACACACAGTCAAACCCTGAAAAGTTTAAGCTTTTGACGAGATTGGGGGGGGGGGGGGAACCTACTTAATACACCTCTTTTGCAGTCAAATTATCTGGGGTTGTTACTTTGCAGAAAGCTGATTTATGGAATTTCTTCAATTAATACCCACTCAAGAATCTGTTCTGATTACTTTTTTTCTCATCATTAAAGGCTTTGTATATATTTGGATATAAATACCTTACGCTCCAGAAATGAATAGACAACATTTAATTATTACCTCTGGTTTTTTCCCACAATACACCTAATTAATATTTGAATTTTAACAGCACGTCTTCCGACATTTTCTTATGATTGGACCAAAACAATATTCCCTTCTTTTTCGTATTTTATTGTACTAGCTGAAATTAACGGCACCAAATACCACTCTTCTGGTGTACTGCATCTGGTTTCTATAATTATAAGATGGATAGAGAAGATTTTTTTTAGTCCTTTTCATAATTTTTTTCCTTGTACCCTCCTTTAAATGTTAACAAGAGAAAATAAATTATTAGAGTATGTATATTTAATGGAGGAAAAATTAAGAATTTAATTAATTTTTAGATCAAGATAATGAGTTTTAGGATTTATGTAGTTATGATAAAACATGTTTAAAATAACTTATAAATAGAATCAGAAAATACATGCTTTCATTTTCATTATGAGAAATGAAACTCTTGGTCATAACTTTGATATGGATTATTAGATCAAATACTCATGAGTTAGTTAAAAACTATGACTATACATTAGTTAAAATAAAAATCTTTTAATCAACCGCTATCACTTGGATCAACTAGTTAGAGGGTTGATTCCTTTTACTAAAGGTTTCAAGTTCAAGCCTTGAGTATGCAATAGTGATTAGATTCTCTTTAAGATGAGCCCACAAGCTATCACAAGTTTAAGCTTTGAGTATGTAGTAGCAGTTAAATTCTTAATGAGATACTGGAACGAAAGTGAAAAAAAAAAATTAGTTAATTTTAACTGCATTATATTTCAATCTTATTTTAACTGTTTGATTACAGGCCTTGTAATCTGGGTTAAAGACCCGAGATATTGAAGCAAGAAAAAAAAATCTTTAATTAATTTTAACGGCATTATATTTCGATCTTATTTTAACTCCTTAACCACCAAGCCTTGTCAAGATAGAATATTAGTAGCCACACATCATAATATATAAATGTGATCAATGGAGTGGGGGCACTTATAATTGTTCTTTTGAGCCATCTCTTTTCTTGTGAATATAAACAGATGATCAGCACTAAATGATGATAATGATGAGAGGCTCATTTCGTGGTGATCAAAGACCGATCCTTTGACAAAAAGGAATGGGGATTGAATCATGATTGGAACATTATGTTTCAAAGTTTAAAAAGTGATGAGCAAGCTGAAGCAGAGAGCATTATGATTTCTCTTCTGAGAAGAAAAGGATCCCTTTTGTGTGAATGTTTTGGTATTCTTTCATGAAAATGATGAACGCAACATCTTTGGACTTACGATCTCATTATTTGGTTTGCTTGTTCCCTAACACATTTTCAACAAAGCTGAAAAGTTCAAATTACAGACTTGTTTAGCTGAAACACATCAGCCCCACGCTGCTCAAGTCTTCACAGGCATATTTTTATTTTACAACGTTTTTCCACAAGACAACGTCTATAAAACGACAACATATTAACTCATCACGTTGAAATTTATAATTATTGTGAAATATATATACAAATATATATCTGAGAAGTCAATTTGATGCTAATATTACAAATAATGATGCTGATTTGAGGGGGGGGGGAATCATATTTTATGTTTAAATGTAAAATTTTAGCAAAAGCTTCAAAAATTACATGCAAGACATGTCTCATAAATTTTGTGGAAAAGGTCATGTTACGTCACAGCTGAGATTTGAGATTTATTTTAAAAAGAAAGATTAATTACGAAAAAAAGTGAAACTATTTGCTGGCGAACCGGACAATCTAAAACCTCCTTCATGATGACTGTGCCTTTCTAATTCTTTGCTTAACATGCAATTAAACTGGCTAGCTAGGCTCAGCTTTAATTTATTTATATACAAACGACAAGAGAAATTAAAGCAACAAACAATTAAATCCGATAAAAAGAAAAGCTATTACACACATCCAAAAAATAAAAAAACCTGCATGCATGCATGCTAGGGTTGTACAAAAGACAGGATGATATTGAACTTCACCCTAACCTAAAATCCGGTCTCTTTCATGAAAAAAATTGAGTTAGGCAACCCGTAGTCTAGTCTTATCCAGTGATAACTCAAAAATTAACAGGATTAGATTTGATCTATAGGATTGGGAGACTGGTGTCAGTCCAGTACTCATTTAGCTTTTTTTTTCCTTTTATTCTATGAGAGGCAATAATCCATTTCAACATAATAAATTTAATTAAGATAATACAAACACTTATAATAATATTAAATCCATAATAATTTTCAACAATAAAAAAAATATTTCTTTTA